GGTGCATCCGTGCACGCCCGGGATCCGAACCCAGGCCGCCAGTAGCGGAGCGCGCACACTTAACTGCTAAGCCACGGGGCTGGCCCTGTTTGATTTTTCTATACCAAGGAAGAACTTACACTTGTCTAAAATTTGAGTGTTGATAGAATCTCAGAACTTGTATGTGGTATTTTTTTTTTTTTTAGAAAATGTTTTTGAGTTTTAAATAGTTCTTAGTTACTTTTATGTTAGTTTTAAAAGATATTTGCATATAACATACGCTATTGTACTTTTTGCATATTATACTTTTTGTGTTGATGTTTGGAATCAAATTTATTAGTTCTCCTGAAGTAAATGTTTTTTCCCAGCGCATAATGCAGTTGTCACGTCGGCCATCTTTGCTCCAAACCCAAGTTTGATGTTGTCTTTGGATGTGCAATCTGAGAAATCAGAAGGGAATGATAAAGGCGAAGATGCTGAAGTTTTGGATACCATGCCCTCTGGTAGGTACTCACGTTTTATTTGTCCTGCATTTTTGTAGCCTCATTAACCTAATATTGGGTATTAAGAGGTTTTCATGAGTATGGAGAATATTTCTTGTTTACAACATAATAGTTGTCAGATATCCATTTCTGAACATTTCAGTAACATCCTTCTTACAAGTTTTACTTCTTTTAAATTCACCTGGGAATTAAAAATGAAAATTTTGAAAGTTAATAATTTTTTTTTTATGGGCAACCATTCTCCTTGGAGAAACGCAAACAAGACATACAAATACAAAATGTATTCTCTGTCTCTTCTACTAGACTGTAATCTCTGTGAGGACAGAGACTTTCTATGTCTTATTGTTGTGGTGCCAGTGCCTGGCACGGTGCTTGCCTGCACATAGTAGGTGCTTAATAAACATTTTCTGAATAAATGAATTAAACCAAAATGAAAGCAGTGTTCTTTTTCTGCTTGCCACAAATTTACAGCTTCTCGTAGATAGCTATTTACAAGCCTGTAATTTCTTGCCATTTGCAGCATATGCTTTGAGAATGAATAGTAATTCCAGTTATATAAAATGCTCAGATGAGGAAGTGAAAAGAAACCATCAAATAGTATTGAGTGCCAATTATATAAAAATGGCCCCTGTTAGTCCTTAAGAGTATGGTAAAACCTTGTAAATTTGGACCAGTTGTTAATGAAAACAAGTTCGTATTATTAAAATCAGTTGCAGAATAGTTTATTAAATATTTTCTGTTACTTTAGAGACTACAACCAGGCCTTTAAGAGCGTTGTTAAGCCACAACAGATACAATGTACAAAAGGTGCTTCTAAAAGTATTTGAATGCTTACAAGTTCTCAAGTATTTTTATTTCATTTAATCTAAAGTAATTTCCCTTGTGGTATTATTTGCACTATACGCTACACTAAATACACTTTTTCTTCTGTCTGTGAAGAAAAATTTTGGTAGCAAAGATGAACTTGAGTCTAGCACTTTTTTCAATTACAAGATTTAAAAATAAATCAACTCAAATTATTAAACCTTTACTAAATGCCTGTTGGGAAATATTTTTTCTTTCCTTTTTTTTTTTTCTCTCAGAATCAAATCTAGCTTCTTTCTTCTAACTTAAGTCATTTGGGTTTTTTTCTTTTCTTTTTCCACAGTGATACCTTTTTATACTCTATACATTTCCCTTATACATTCCACAGAAAATTCTAGCTTTTAAAACAATTGGAGGGCCGGCCCCGTGGCTTAGCGGTTAAGTGCACACGCTCCGCTGCTGGCGGCCCGGGTTCGGATCTCGGGCGCGCACCGACGCACCGCTTCTCCGGCCATGCTGAGGCCACGTCCCACATACAGCAACTAGAAGGATGTGCAGCTATGACATACAACTATCTACTGGAGCTTTGGGGGAAATAAATAAAATTTAAAAAAAAAAACAATTTGAGGAAAAATCTAAAGGACTTTTTTTTAAACTTCTCAAAGTTGCACCATATTCACAAGGTTCACTTAATTCACTGAGTCCTTTTTAAAGAGGCATAACTTTTAATGGATCATACTCAGATTTGTGTTTGCTGTTTTGTACCTATCTAGGTATAATCTAAGAATAAACTCTTAAACCCAGGGTATGAGATCATAAAATATATCTGATTGCCCTCTCTTTGTTCCTGACATGTTTGGCAATTTAAGCTTCAATTTTCCTCGTGTGACAATAATACCTAGTTTATAGGGTTGTGATAAGAATTAAAGATAACATATGTAAAGTGCCCATCAAAATGCCTGGCATATAGTAGATGTAATCGTTATCATCCTCATTATTATTGTATCTTAAAAAGCATTTGTATGTATATGATGAATTATTTTCTTCTCTAGCCTTTCTCGTATTCCTAAGTCCTTTGCTGCTACTTCTGCTGCATAGCACTACTTTGAGATATGCCAAAAGGGTGGTAATGTTCACAGGCTTAGGATATGTTTTTAGTAAATCTGAGTGAAATCATTTGTCTAACTCATCCTGTACACAACTTTCCAATTAAAAGTTAGAAAGAAAAGTTCCTTCCTTCCCAATCAGTACTTCTTAAATCTACAGTTTTTGCCTATGCATAATAGAGTTAGTTAACACTGAATTTTGTTTGTTAAATGCTTTTACTGGCGAATCTAAGAGGTAAGCATTTTTGCCAGTCAGTATAGCTACATAGCTCTCAGTGTGGATCGTAAAGGTAAAAGGTGCTGTCAGCATTTACAGAACAATGACATGTACTTCATCTCATGGCAGTTTCAGTATGTGTGCTGTACAGTAAACCTAACCTAACCGTCAACCTCATTAGAGAACCCTGTTAGCAATAGGCTTGCCCAGCTGAACGCATCCTGCCAGCACTCCAGTCCTGGGCTGAGTAACACGCTGGCGTCTTGCCATGAAATGAAGCATTAAACAACTTAGAGGCCTAGGCTACCTGGGTGTAAATCCAGGCATCGTAGCACCAAGGGACTGTACTCTCCCCAGGCCAGGGAAAGACCAGCTAAGACAAAGTAAGTGGAAGTGAGCCTCAGAGAGGAGGAGGGGTACAGGAGGATGAAAGGATTACAGGAGTGAGCCGGAAAAGAGACTAAATAGGTTTGGAGAGGATCTTCTACGCCAAAGGTGGAGGGTCATGGACATGTGACATGTGGCAGCAGGCTTCATATTCCTTTAAAATCAACTAAAAACTATTCTTTTTATGCTTTTAAGGTATTATGAAGACAGATAACACAGAAGTTCTTCTCTCTGCTGACTTCACTGGAGCAATCAAAGTGTTTATTAACAAAAGGAAAAATGTATCTTAATTTGAAATGACATTTAAAATAAACATATCAGTAAGTTTATATATGTATCAGAACTGAAAAAAATACTATAATGTTTCAGGCTAACATCCTTTTTTTAATTTTTATTGGAAGTTGTTCAAATATAATATATTTTTCGAGAGGCAGTGTTAATGATCTAGTAAACCCTGGACTGATAGACTAGAAAGGAATGTGGCTAGAATAACATTGCCAAACATTAGGCTTTATGTTTTGTTATGTTTGTGTTTTTGTTATATAATTGTGAACCTGCACAGGTTTATGCATGAAAAATATATTAATATATTAATCACATGTGTGTGCCTTTTGGTTACATGCACTAAATCTAACAGAGTTAAATTATTTCAGTGACTCTTTTGGCCTCTTATTTGGGAGGAGTCTTGTTTGTAGCTTAAACAATTTCTTTTGCACAAAATTTCATTTATAAGGAAAGTGGTGTCTTTTGACTGAGTTATTGTTTTGAAAATGTTATATAGGTTTTCAGTAGGTCAACAACCATGTGTAAATGGTTTTTATAAATTTCTCAATTTGGGGACAAGATTTTTTTTTTGTGGTCTAAATTGTGGACTTAAGATTCTTTTCTTTGTATGTGTATATATAATTTCCTTTTTTTTCCACACTGGAGCACAATGTTTCTATGTAAAGAATTCTTTTCATTCTTTATCCATGAGCACCAGGCTTTGCTCACTTAAAATTAAGCCGCATTAAGGAGTGAGTCTTCTTTTTTACAATAATGTAAAAATGAACTGTTTACATTTTTTTAAAGCATTGTAGTTTTAAAAATTAAGCTGTTTTGTTTTGTGTTGTTGAATTTGAAAGCTTCTGTAAATATTGATATAATGTACCAATGAAATAACATCTGGGGCAATGGAACCCTGATCATGTTGTTGATGGTTAGCATATGATTCTGAAAGTTAAATATGTATTATTAAAACTTGGTCGCCAACACTTGTTAAACATGTGACTTTATTTTCAGATGACTTCAGTAAATTGAGGAATGTAAGAAAAACAAAGTCTTGTTTTATAATTTGATTCTTAGCAAGCAGAAGATCAGATTTTGGACCCCTAAATTATAATGCATTTAAGGAAACTACATACCTTTAAGGAAAAAAAATTTTTTAATTCTAGTTCTAAAATGAACACTCCTAAGAGTTCATCTATATGCTTATATGTTCTTTACTGTGTTTGTTTTTAGTGTGTAAGTGAGAAGCTGGGAAGACACAGTCATATCCTTGTTAATCCTGCATGGTTTTGGAGTAATCCAGATTTTCTAGTTCATTGGATACTGTTTGCCTTGGTTTTACTCCTATGCTGCTTTCTTCCTCTTGCCAGTGCTGTGTTCTCTCCTTCCCCTCTCCTCATCTCTCTGCTCACTCTTCTATACTCTACCTGATAGAGCGAGTTGTTATGCCATTGGCTTTCTAACCAACCAGTTTCTTTAGTCTCAAGGTCTGGGTGGCAGTGTGATTGGTCTAGTGTTTCAAAGAACTTAATGTCTTGAACTCTTTGAGGCAACTTGGCTTTCACTGACTTCTGCCTGAGGACTTGTAGTCTGCTGTGGTGCTGATCGTTTCAGCAGCAGGTAATCGGGGTGTTGCCATGTGAATATTTCCTGATAGGTTTTATGTGGTTTCTTGAACAAAAAGGGAAAAATATTTGGGATGCAAGCTTAAGAGAATACTGACATTTCTGAGTTTAGTTTTTTAAATGTTTGCTGTCAGTATATAAATATACTACAAAGTTATAAGAAAGTGAGTTTGAAAAGGTAGCATTAAGATATATACAAAGAAAAATTGAACAATATTCCTCCCTAAAATGGGTATTAGAAACTCACTATAATAAGCAGTGTGATATTATAGGAAACAGCACAGATTCTAGAATCAGATGAACTTGGATTTGGTTCCCTCTATTAGCACATTCCTTGGGCAAGTTATTTACCCTATATTAATTTCCATTTTCTTATCTGTAACATGAGAGTATCTAACTGAAATTGTAAAGATTTACTGAGAAATCATGTATGTATAAAGCTTGGTGCCTAGTCAGTAGGTGTACTCAACAAATGTACATTTTTTACTGCCTCTCCTGAAACCGTGAGTGCCATCCTAGACCAAAAAGAGAAAAGTATATACTTTTCTCTTTAGAGAAAGGAAGTGCTTTCTAGCTAGCATTGGGATTTCATAGACGAATGGCATTTTAGGCCTTGACATAGGGCACCAACATTTTTTTTTGCCAACTCGACACTTTTTTTTAAGCTGCTGCCATCTGCTATCACCTCTTCATAGAAGAGAACATTTTAATAGTAAAAAAAAGTCAAGCAGAATCTTATCATCTTAGAGCAATGAACAGTCTATTAAAGTGAATAAACCTAGCTTTTAAAAAAAGTACCATATTCCCTTATTTTCCAATTTCTCTTTTGGTGAAAATTTCATCATGGACTTGGTGTGGTAAGCTGAGAACCACTGTGCTAGATGAACAAGTTTAAAACCGCATTTCAGGGGCCGGCCCCGTGGCTTGGTTAAGTGCGCGCGCTCCGATGCTGGCGGCCCGGGTTCGGATCCCCGGCGTGCACCGAGGCACCACTTCTCCGTCCATCCTGAGGCTGAGTCCCACATACAGCAACTAGAAGGATGTGCAGCTATGACATACGACTATCTACTGGGGCTTTGGGGGAAAAAATAAATAAATAAAATCTTTAAAACCGCATTTCATTAAAAGCTCTTTGAAGAGTCATATTGAGCCATTTTTCACCTGTCTTGTTTACCTTAATTGGAATTAAAATATTAATGACTCAGCATAATTTTTTTTTTTTTTAAGATTTTATTTATTTTTATTTTTTTCCCCCCAAAGCCCCAGTGGATAGTTGTATGTCGTAGCTGCACATCCTTCTAGTTGCTGTATGCGGGACTCGGCCTCAGGATGAACGGAGAAGTGGTGCCTCGATGCGCACCCGGGATCCGAACCCGGGCCACCAGCATCGCAGCGCGCGCACTTAACCACCAAGCCACAGGGCCGGCCCAACTCAGCATAATTTAGCATAGCATTTTCTCTGATCCTCAAATTATACAGCTGGGCAGTGGCTTTTTATTCTTAGAAATATATGTTTAACATTAATATACCATCTTCCAAATTCCAATTTCAGTTGTATAATTTTGAGAGTCAGAGGCCAGATCTCCCCACTGTTGTGAAAAAACCAAATTATCAGAATATTTTTAAATACCTTAATTATTATGGGAATTCAAGGTAAAGACATATTTGGGATTTAATGTTTCCCCATAAGTTTTCAAAAGAAAAACATTCCCAATTTCACTGGTTTCTAGCTTCCTGCCTTATTCATTAAGCAGATGTTTATTGAACACCTATTATGTATAGAGCACTGCTGGGACTAGAGAAGAATAAGGCAACATCCCTGTGCCAGAAGAGCTCACAGTCTGGTGGAGGAGAAGACCACAGAAACAAGAGACTTGGAACTGTCTTGTGGCTGTGGCCCTAGAAATGCCCCTTCTCGCCTTAACCCGTCTGTTCTACCCTTCCTAGTAACTCGTGACAGGCTCTTGATTCTCAGGCCAATCTTTGTTCATCTAATATTACAAGCAGCAAGGATAATATGAGTGAAAGAGTCTATGAGTAAACCGTAGATAAGACAGAGAAAATGGAGTACCCACTGTGTCATCATTTTCCCTGGTCTCTGACCCTCTCCTTCTCCCAGCCTAAAATCATTGTTTTATTTCCCAAAAAATCTTAACTGTCTTCTATTCCGAGCTAACTCCTGCTTAACAGACCCCCTGCCCCCACGTGCTCTCCTCTTCCTTTCAGTTCTGAAGCTTGACCTTTTTTGTTTTGCTTTGTTCTCTAGACTTGAGTCATCTAATCTCCTGGGGAACCCAGGCTTCCCCTGTTAACCACAGCCGCTTTTCTGGTGTAGATCCACGCACATGAAATAAATTCAGGCCGATACAGCAGGGCCAGCGTGGAGGACGGTGTGGAGATGAGGAGGGAGATTCACTACAGAGTCCCAAACAAATCAAATGCCATCATACAGGTTATCTAAGGTGCTCCAAACAGATAGAGTTTGCTTGTACATCCAGCTACCCTGCATTACTTTTTTTTTTTAATAAAGTTTTTATTTTGGAATACCTTTAGTTTTAAAGAAAAGTTGCAAAGAAAATACAGCAAGTTCCCATGTACTCCTTACCCAGTTTCCCCTAATGTTAATACCTTACATCACCATGGTATGTTCGTCAAAACTAAAGAAACCAACTCTGGTACATTACTATTAAGTAAATTCTAGATTTATTCAGGTTGTACAGTTTTTCCACCAGTGTCCTTTTTTAGTTCTAAGATCCAATCCAGGATACCATAATACATTCAAGCATATTATGCCTTCTTGATTTAAATAAACTTTTTATTTTAGAATAGCGTTAGATTTTCAGAAAAGTTTGCAAAGAGTTCACATCCCCCTGCACCACTTTTCCCTGTTGTTAACATCTGACATTGCTGTGGTACATTTTTCACATTAGGGGACCAACATTGCTACATTACTGTTAACTAAACTCCATACTTTATTCAGATTTTACTAGTTTTTACCTCATGTTCTGTTCTGGGATCCTGTCCAGGGTATGGCATTATAGGTGATCGTCAGGTCTCCTTAGGCTCCTCTTAACCATGACAGTTTCTCATACTTCCCATGCTTTTGTTGACCTCAACAATTTTGAGGAGTACTGGTCAAGTATTTTGTCAAATGTCCCTCGATTTGGGTTTGTCTGATGTATTTCTCATGATTCAACCAAGGTTATGGACTTTGGGGAGGAAGACCACCGAGATGAGTTGCTCTTTTCATTACATCACATCAAGGATGCATACTGTCAACATGACTTATCACCTAGCTGAGGAGTGTTTGTTAGGTTTCTCCACTATAAAGTTATTTTTTCTCCCTTTCCATAAATCTACTCTTTGGAAATGAATCACTAAGCACAGGTCAAACCCAAGGGGTGGGGAGGAGTTAAGGCCCACCTCCTTGAGGGGCAAATATCTATATAAGTTAATTTAGAATTGCTCTTTACAAGAGATAGGTCTCTTCTCCCTCATTTGTTTATTCAACCATTTATGTCAGCATGGACTTATGAGTATTTATTATATACTTTGAGTTATAATCCAATACTGCATTATTTTGTTGTTCAATTTGTTCCAGCTTTAGCCTGTGAGAATTCTTTCAAATTGGCCTTTTGTGTCCCTTTGACATGCCCCTACCTTTTTTTTTTTTTTTTGAGCACTTCCTTACTTTCTGTCACTCTAAGATGCTCCAGGCTCATCTTGTATAGTTCCTGCTCCAGCCCTATAATCAGCCATTTATCCAAGGAGCTCTGGTTCCTTTTATTTGAGATGAGTATTAGAAACCAAGATCTGGGTGGTAAGTGTGCTCATTGCTATGGAGATGTCATTTCTCTAAGGCTCTCTCAGCTGTCAGAGCAAAGAAATATATGCACGTATCCTAATCTCTTTATATATACACGCTATAAATATTGCTATGTAACCATGTCTATATTAAATTAAATATGAGTACTTACAGATGTCTCTGACTAATCCATTAACACATGGATCATTCTAGCTTTCTCCTCTTATCAATAACTTCCTTCTCAATAGTCTCAATAATGAGAAACCTGGCTCCCACCATTTACTGTTTACTTATTTGTTCAATCCCAACATAACATATTCAGCAGTTTCAGAATTGCTAACCTGTACCCCCATGAGAAACACCTTTACCAACTAGAGTACAGTTTTTATGTATAGTCCTTTGTCTTTGGTGTCAGTTTCCAGTCAAAACACCGTTTTCCAAAATTACTTAGGTCAGTGTCCTTTTTTCCCCACCCACATTACCTTCTTAATATTAGATTCACTTGAATTATCTGTCTTTCTAATAAAATCTGTTGGGATTTGATGATGTACGTAGCCATACT